GCTCTCCGAATGGGGAATCCATTCACTGAAAATCTATCGGCGTGACTTCGTGCCGCTGCAGAGGCGTGAATTAAGTGTCACGCCATTAAACGGCATGACAGAAAAGTCACGCCAAAAATCGGCGTGACTCGAAAATTCACGCCAAAAATTGGCGTGAATTTCTTGTCATGCCGCTTTTTGGCGTGACTTGTCTCATAAAACGCGATGTCATTCACGCCAAATGAGGGTGTGACTCACATGTCACGCCGTTTTTCGGCGTGAATTTCGTGTCTCGCCAAATTATGGCGTGACTTTTTGTCACGCCATAATTTGGCTATGTGTCCGACCATTACGTTTTCAGTGAATTGGTGGGGTCACACGCGCGGTTCGAGCCCTGCTTAGCGACTCTAGAACTGAAAACGCGACTTTTCGACGCCATGACACGAGTCGAAAACAACTTCTCTGGAGAGCACTGCAGGAGCATTGCGAGAGCTCTGCTCTTTGAATTGTGGCCGTGCCGGGCCGTGCCGGGCCGTGCCGGGCCGTGCCGGGCCGTGCCGGGCCGCGCAGCTCGCATGACGAAGATCGCACAGAGGATCGAAGAGGGATCGGCCCGAGAGCGCGCTGGCTCATGGCGGCGTGCAGGCTTACCCCGGCACGGCCGGCACCACGGCCGGCACCACGGCCTGAGGGGCTTAACCGCCGATTCCGCGCTTAACAAGCGCCGACTGTACTTGCCTCAATATTGATTCTGGCCAATCCGCGCGCAGACCGCGGGCAAGCCCAGGCAGGCCGCGCTGCAGTTGACTCACCCGGTTCGGTTCGTCGCGGGGGCAACTTTTGTCGCCTGTCGCTCTCCCTTCCGAGGGGCACACCGTCGGGGCGCGAAAGAGATAGACACTCCGCTTAGATCGTCCGCCGCGCTGCGGGTACACTGCCAGCGCCATCTGCGGCTCGCCACGGCGCGGCAGGCTGGGCCCCGCTGGGCTGGGCGCGCGAAAAACGCCCGTCAAATGCGCGCTCGTCATCGGAGCCGCTTAAAAAGATTTATCTTAACCCCGTTTTTATTTGAGTTTCGGACAGCGCCGCTCCGCAGCTGATGCTCCTCGTGAATGCTGCCGGCTGCTGGAGTCTCCAGCCTGGAGGCTCGCTCGCTAATGAGCTCGTTGTCGCTTTGAGCCGCGCTGGCTGCCAGCTCTGCCAGCCCCGCCAGCCCCGCCAGCCAGTGCTGCCACCGTGCCCCATGTCGGGTGATGCATTGCCTGTTTACTTCCACCCCCTCCTTTTTCCGGCACTGCTCGCGGACACCTCTTGGCGCCGCGTCGGCCACGTCGGCCGCGTCACGCCCGGCGTGGCGAAGCATGGCGGCCAGCCAATGGGAACGCGCCGCCCGGCCAGCACTGCTTTTGGCGGCAACTTTGAAATACCGGCAGCGATCCGCGGAAGGGTGGCAGGCAAGCGCTGGGAACCGCCGCGAGCAGCGCCAGCGGCGGACTGCTTCCGGAGAGAGTGAGAGAGAGAGAGAGAGAGAGAGAGAGAGAGAGAGAGAGAGAGAGAGAGAGAGAGAGAGAGAGAGACCGGCAGGTCTGCAATGACCCCGACCGGGCCACGCCGACTTCGTCTGGCTCGCGACGTTCTGGACGGGGCGGGGTATGGGGAGGGGCGTCCGCCGTGGGACGGCGAGGGCGTGCGCGGCCGCGGCTTTGACAAATACCAACGGTAATGCGAGGCGCGTTTTTACCAACAGAGTGACGCGTCGAAACGAAGGGGAGAGGCTGCCATTGCTATTGTGGCTCGGGAGGGCGCACTGGAGAGGAGAGCCCCTTGAAGATCCGCCGCCCTGCCAGACTTCCAGTGCCTCAGACTGCCAGTCGGCCTGGGCGGCGCGGCGCGGCCTGACCCGCGCGTATTGTACGTCGGCAGTCATTGTGCGACGGGGCCCGACGGGGCCTGCAGCCAGTCGGGTCCGGGAGACCTTTCACGCCAAATTTATGGCACCGCCAGTCAAAAAAAAAAGAAGAAAGTTGCAGGAAATTGATTTTATTTCATTTAAGGCTTTCCAAATGCACTCATTGACCCACCATTTACCATATTTTTAAAAACCATACACAAATTCGTACGAAATTTTAAAAGCGAATAGAACGTATGCGCGAAATTTTCCACCGCGATAAAAACGCATACCGCCCAAAAAAATAAGAAGCAAACTGTTTTTTGGTTGTCTGGTCCATAATGATAGGTCCATGCTGCTAGACAGACGGACTACATGGCCCGAGGGTCTCGCCGGCGAGAATTGGATTGGCGACAGAAATCAAGTCCTGCTGAGATCTACTCCGATTTGGTGTGCGGAAGGGGGTGGGGGTGGGAGGCAGTCCTCTCTTTGAGCCCGCGGCCTGCTCTACTCCTTTTTCTTGGCCTAACCGCTGTAATGTGTACACTCGAAGCCGAGCAGGGCAGTGAGGCCGAGAGACGCAAAAAAAAGGACATCAAACGAAAATTTGCATTCATCTGCATGAAGCCAGCGGCCGTCCTGCCTGACCGAGTCCCCCAATTACTCATCCAGCAGTGCACGGAATTGCTTTCGAATCGCCGACCGGGCTTCATTCCCCTTTCTTTGTCTTCCAAGTTTTCTATTTCTAGTCTCTCTTTCACTTTGACCCGGTGTTTGCTTGGGCCGCCTCCTGGCATTTCAACTCATCTACAGTACCCACCTCACTTTCCCTCGGGCCGTTTTTGATTACGCGAGCGAAAATAATTGGTTTCACGTTTGCTCGCCCGTGTCGCGTTTTGGATTAAAACCGAATGAAAACATTCTGGGCGCGGCGCCATTTCAACCCCAATTTTTTGCTAATTTTTTTCATCCAGGACGGGATAAACTGAACGAGCCGCCGTCTGGGGAATATGGTTTCCTTCCGCGTTGAGCCGACCAGGGCTTTGCAGGCAAATAATAATCCCCGCATTGTGCAGCCCGTCTCGACGACTGTCTCTCTCGCACCCCTGCGGCCCGCGGCCCGCCCAGACGAGTGCGAGAGAGACAGAGCGACTCGCGAACGACGCGGCGCGGCGGGAGGACCGCGTCGTCCACATCTTGGCGATTTCGCGCTAAGTGGTATGAAGTTAGCATGAGCTGTACACATGAATAAGGCAGGAGTCTCGAGGGCAATGGGGCCTGGAAGGGTGGCTGCATTCAGGGCGGGGCCGGGCCCCCTGAGCCCGGTGCGGCCCGGTGCGGCTCGCTCGGGCCCAGCAGGTGCCCCGGGCTCGGGGCCCGGCCGGCCCGGGGGCCCGGCGGCCTGGCAGGTGAGGCCAGTGAAAGGCAGTCTGACGAGGGGCTGAATAATAGCAGCGTCGCCTGATTGAGGCCAGCAGGGGCAGCCCGCCGGGCCCCGCCAGGCCCCGCCCGCTCGCTGACAGTGCACCGCCCGTCCGCCCCGGGCCCGCCCCGCCAGAGTCGTCGCAAGAGCCAGCAGCCCGAGGATCTAAGCGATTTGCAACACTCGGTGGGGAGCAGCGGCGCTGCAAATTCGGTCAAAATAAAGACGGATGTCTGAACTTTGTATTTTGAGGCGACTTTGGGCGGCCGTTGCGTCTGCGTGTTTCTCTTTTTCCGCACAGATGATTCGAGAAAGCAAACTGTCGAAACTCATTTCAGTGTTGCCCGCGTTTGCCACGGTCCCCCATGGGCGGTCACCATATCGCGTTACGTGCCGCGGACGCGAGGCGGGACTTCCCTCCAGGCCCCTCCAGCCCCGCCGGACCACGCCGGGCCTTTGACATGACTAAGCTAATTACTATCGTCTAGCCGCTGTCGTCGCTTTGATGACGTGGCCGGGCGCGGCCGCCAGTTGCGCCCAATTTGCAGCGTCCCTGTTTATATGAAGGTGCTGTCGCCCGTTGGAAAAACAGAGAATTGTGACGTTTGTGGTCGGACAGACGAAACATCATAGCAAATGTGTAGCTTGGCCGTCTTGGTTGCGCGTCATTCTCCGAAAAAGAAGACCCCGCCATGGCCAAGATATTCCCAACGTGGGCTGCAGCTCAGCTCAAGCCGTCCACTCGCAATGAGGGCCGGGGATAGAGGCTGGCCTGGGCTGGGCTGGGCTGGCCGGCGGCACGGCCGGGGGCTACCTCGATACAGCCTCGTCGACATAAGGAGATTTGGGGTGCTCCTTATTGGAATCGAAAAGACTCGGTGGCCGCCGCGCCGACAGGCCGAGCCGAGCGTGACGCGGCCGTGGCCGAGGCCGGGGGACACACTGCCGGAAAGGGAGAGACAGACCGGTGGCGCCGGCCAGCGTGTCGCCTGCATTGTCTCCCTCGCACTCACGAGGCACCCCCAAGGGGTGCGAGAGAGACAGAGCGACGTTCGGAATACTGGCGACGGCCGCTGACCGCCCTCCGCTGCTTTTATTTTCGCCGTGTGCGTCCCATTATCCACCCTGTCCCGGCCAAAGAAACGGCGCCCTGTCGCTACCCCCCGCGCTGAGCCAGTCCATAAGGCCGGCGCTGGGAGTCCCCCGCGCGAGGGGTAGCGACGGGGCAAGTCTATTGCAGACAGTACAGCACACAGTGGCCTGGACAGCGCCTCCCTCCGCGGCAGCCTTCGCCTCGTGTGTGTCGGAAAAGATGCTCCGTTTCGATCGGGGCATTGCCGGGCGTTGCGGGGCGTTGCGGGGCGTGGCGGCTCCGGCGCCAACGAGTCCCATTTCTTGGAGAGGCTCCAAGCGGATTGACAAGGCGCCGCGCCGCGACTCGCCCGCACATTAACAGCGTAGACGCCGCCCCGTTTCAGGCCGTCTGTTCTGCTTGTCTCAACGAGAGACAATTACTGCATTGTAGCGCCCCGCCCCGCCTGCCTCTGCCTGCACGCCAGCCGGGGCGTATTGTGTACCTCCGCTATTCACTAATCGAGCGCCCGCTTTCATGAGGCGCGGTAAATAGACGGGCAGGCAGGTGGCGTCGAACCCGCGACCTTTCGGTCGGGGCGCTGACTCGCTAACCGCTCGGCCGTTTTCCTGTTGCAGGCTACTGGCCGCTGGGCGTCGTCTGGTGCAACATCTACGCCACGTGCGACGTGCTGGCCTGCTCCGCCTCCATCCTGCACATGTGCTTCATCTCGCTGGGCCGCTACCTGGGCATCCGGAACCCGCTCAAGACGAGGAGGGCCTACTCCACCAAGCGGATGGTGGCCCTCAAGATCTCCCTCGTCTGGATCCTGGCCATGCTCATCTCGAGTTCCATCACCGTGCTGGGTAGCGGGTCGTTCCAATCCCCAGGAACAACGAATCGAACAAGTCCCGTTTTCTCACGGCAGATGTTCGCAGGCGCGGTCAACCCGGACAACATCATGCCCAGGGAGGGCGAGTGCGTCATCAACAACCGTGCCTTCTTCGTGTTCGGCTCGCTGGTGGCCTTCTACATCCCCATGGTGACCATGGTGGTCACGTACGTGCTGACGGTGCAGCTGCTGCGGAAGAAGGCGCGCTTCGCCGTCGAGCACCCCGACACGGACCACTGGGGCCGGCTGGGGGGCCGCTTCGCCGCCGTCAAGCGCCGGCCGGCCAGGTGAGCGAGCACGCCGTTGCGAGAGACGACCAGATCAGCGGCAATGTTAGCCTCGAGTGGGCGTAGTGGATACTGAAGTGGGCCACACGAGGCGACCGACCCACAGTGGGCCAGAAGACCGGTGGAGGCGGCCAAAACTCTGGACGCGTTTTGAGCTGAAGAGTCGCTGAATGGGACTCGAACCGAGCGTCTGACCCCACCAATGGATTGCTCTCCGAACGAGGAATCCATTGGTGGGGTCACACGTTCGGTTCGAGTCCCATTCAGCGACTCTTCAGCTCAAAACGCGTCCAGAGTTTTGGCCGCCTCCACCGGTCTTCAGGCCCACTGTGGGACCCAACCCGCCCTTCCAAAGGACCTGTCCACCGCCACGGCACGCCACGGCCAGGAGTGCGGGTTCGAACCGCCGCAACACGACATTTTTCCCCTGTCAGACCGAAAGGCACCTCGCCGCGGGCCGGGCCCAGGCCGGGCCCAGGCCGGGCCGGGCACTGTGGCGGCAAGCGCGGGTCGGGGCATCGGATAGAAGGGCCAGATAGGCACCGCGTGACCCGGCCGGCCCGGCCCCGGGCGGGACTTGGAGCCGATCAGGCCCACGCCGCAGCACCTCTAGTGCAGCATGCTGTCGTTGCTCTGTCTCTCTCGCACTACTCGTGGGGCGTCGCGTTGCGAGAGAGGCGGGGCACTGCAAGGCAAAGAGCCTCGCGGGAGCTCCCGATGTCCCCGCCAAGCTTCGCCGTGCTTCGTCGGCGTGCACGTCAACAGGAGCGTGACTGTGGCCCTGTCGGCGGTCTTGGCGAGGAGCGCCCGTTCGGTCATCTGCATGGCGCGCCACGGCGGACACGGCCCATATCTCCCTTATTTCGAAGAGTTTGCCGCGCCGCTCCATTCATCCTTGTCGCCGAGCTTCCGACGCCCCCGGGAAGGGGGAGGGGGGGCGCCTTCCGCGATTCTTCATCTTCGATTCAGCGCTGCACCAAACTAGAAGAACAAACGTCCCCGCTCCGGTTTGAATTCCCGGAGCTGCCAGATCTGGACTTTCAGTCTTCCGGCCTTCCGGTCGGACCCTGGCCGGAAAAGAGCGACGGCTAACTCCTGCCGGGCCGGGCCGCCGGGCCGCCGGAACGAATCGCAAGCAGTCGCCGAACTGAGTGAGCCTTGCAGCGCGCTGCAGAACTTGCGCGCCCCTGCCCCGCCCCGCCCCGCCCCGCCCCGCCCCGCCCCGCGGCCCTGGGCGTTCCGCGGCGTTCCAATGCACAAAGGCCGCGAAAGTCGCTCTTCATTTCGTCCTGCTTGGCGGCCGGCCGGGCCAAGGGCCGGGCAAGGCACTTCCGAGGGAGTCGTCGGTCAGACGGACAGCCGCGGCCAGCGCCAGCGCGCCAACATGAAAGGTCGGCCTTCTCGGAGGCTCCCCGAAGTGCGGCCCGGCCCGGCCCGGCTAGCCCCCCGGCCCCACGGCCCGGCCAGAGCGAGGGGCCCAGGCCCAGCCCAGGCCCCACGGCCCGACCGGCGCCCCGCGTCCGAGCGCCTGTGGCGCGGAGGTTAGGCCACAGGCTGGGCACGCATGCCCGGCGGGACAGTCGCCCCGCTGCGGCCGACTGCGGCGCACAACGCCCTGTCTCTCTCGCACTCCAGGCGCGTCCCGTAAGGGTGCGAGAGAGACAGAGCGGCTGGTTCGGACAACGGTTTAATGTCCTTGCTTTTGGTTGGCAGGCCTCACAGCACGTCGCAGCCGGAGCTGAGCGAGTACATGCGCGGGCCCACGCCGGGCAGCCCCGGGGGCACGGCCATCGCGCTGGGCCTGGCGCTGGCCAAGAGGAACGAGAACGCCTCGGAGCAGGCCGGCGGTCGCAAGAACCGCCGCAACCTCCGCCTCAACGTGACGCCCTCCACCCTCAACCTCAAGTAAGCCACAGCCCGTCGCTACGCGTCGCTACCCCATGTGCCGCAGCCTCCGCGCGCGGGGTATCGCCTCACGGTTTGTCTCACAATGCACCCTCTGCCGACAGGTTCTTGCAGAACCGCAGCAAGCGGCAGACGCTGGCGCTCAACGCGGTGGCCACCGAGCAGAAGGCGTCCAAGGTGCTGGGGCTCGTGTTCTTCACGTTCGTGCTGTGCTGGGCCCCCTTCTTCCTGCTCAACATCGTGTTCGCCATCTGCCCGTCGTGCCAGAAGCGCGTCCCGCACCACGTCATCGACACGTGCCTGTGGCTGGGCTACGTGTCGTCCACCATCAACCCCATCATCTACACGGTCTTCAACCGCACCTTCCGGGCGGCCTTCATCCGCCTGCTGACGTGCAGGTGCAGCCGCGTGTCTCGGCCGCCGCGCTACCGGTCCGTCACGGACACGCGCACCGCGGCGTCCACGCCGGGGCTCAACTTCGGCCCCGGGCCCAGCACCAGCGGCGTGCCCGGCGTGCCCGGCCCGAGCGGCAGTTCGGGGCGCGCCGCCAGCTCGGCGGGCACGGACAGCGCGGACGGCGGCGACCCTGGCAGCACGCCGTGCTCCACCATCCCGCTGTCCATGTCCATGTCCCTGCCCTCGTCCTCCACGGCGGCCACGCTGTGCGTGCGAACGCCCTCGCCCTCGCACTACCCCAGCAACTACAGCATCGACGACAGCGTGGTCTAGAAGGCTGTGCCCGGCCTGGCCCGCGTGGGTGACTGTACTCAAAAGCGCCTTGCCAAACCGTGGTTCCCCATCCACCACCACTTCCCCTGTGACAATCACCCCAATCACTCCCCAAAAAGTTAGAAAGTGACGCTACATTCCAACTTGGCAGGCCGAGCGGGGGGTTCGTTGATGGCGACTAGTGTTAATCTTCTGCTCACACTGTGGAATCATGTGTACTGTTTTGTACGTAATCTGTTTTTGATGGATTTTGTGTCTGTTTGTGAATAGGTACAAATTATATCTAACCATTTCTTTCATGAAGAAACGCATGTTCATAATGGTACATGACCATGTGCAAAAAAGAATAGTGATTTAGTGTGTTCATGTGTTTTCAACGATCAATGTTTTTGTTTGTACCTGTACTGTTTCCAAATAACAATGAGATACAATAACTCTATTTATTTTTTTATATGTCGCAGTATAGAATTTCACATTTAAGAAATGAAAGGGGTCTTGTAAGGAGAGAATGGCATAGGTTGACAAAGTACCATTTGTCAAATCATTCCATAGTCTCACAGCGCTGCCTCAAGAAGCATGAAATGAAAAAAGTATTCATATTGTACATTATTTAATTTTGATCTCAAAATGCATTGAGAGTTTTATCTTTGTGTGTTACTATCAATGTATGTTACATTCCCCTAAGTCATACATATGGTTGTTTTAGAGAATAATTAGTGTTTATAGAAGCATTTATTGTCTGCATTTTGCATCCATCGTACATAAAAGTAGTGCCATAAAGCTTTAACGTCTGATGTGGCTTTCTTCCACTAGACCTGTCCTAATGTTAGTTACTACGTGATCTTGCAATCCTCCAGAACTGTTTTTGTCTGTAGCCAAACTGATTTGGACTGACTGCTGCATTCTCCCCGAGCCAAAAGTAGATAAATGTGTGTTAAACAATTCATGCTTACAACTAGTCAAAACTCCGTGTGAATAAAGAAAGTAAACCTGTATGTATTCTTTCAGTGAACTTCTAGTATAATGAGTCCCCTATGGCAAAATCAAAAAGAAACATGGAATCCACCGTTATCCGAGGTCCGTCAACACGATTATGACTTTGAGGTCATGCCAACAAAGTGACAGTAATTTGAATGCGATGGCAAGCCACAGAGGCGTTATTAAAACCGAAATTTTAAATAAACATAAGTTGCCATGACGAGAAAGTCACAGTACCCTCGGTAAACTCAAAATTCTACGAAAACATAACCTCTATTTTCCACGGCGACGTAGGCAGACGGGTGACGGTTGGGCATGCCACTGCACAGTCGGCACCTCATACAGTGGGAGTTTTAACATCTTCCACTGAGATTCAAGAAGAAATGTCGAGACAGCTTGTCACACCATAAAAAAATGCAAAAACTGGAAGCAGGTTCGTTCGTACCGGTCGCGTCTTGAGAGGCGGGAAGGGCGGGCGATGTTGACACGTCTGTGGCGCGCTCTGTCGGCGAAACCAGACACTACACGCAGCCGGCGATACCCCGCGCGGACGACCGGCGCGGCGCTGCTGGCAGGGTGTAGTGCTGATGGTTTGTGCTGGAGCGGAGCGGAGTATCTCTGTAAGATCCCAGAAACAAATTTAATGGCGTTCGAGAATTAATGCGAACGATCAATGAAAGCAAAGCAGCATTGCCGCCTGCGCCAGTGTGAGAAATGTGAGCATGCTGACAAACATTCTCGACGAAGCGGTGTGCTGATTTTCTATGCATTTACGTGGGGTCCATCCGTTCACCTCCTCCACATCCTTAAACAATTCCCTAACGCAGCCGAGTGGATTTCTCTGCTCTCATTGGCCAAGCCCGGCATCGTAATCATCGGAGTGACGTCACTGCCGATGGCGTCATCGCGGCGCTCCGAAATAATAACACCTCGCTGCGGCCCGGGTCCCGGGATCGAATCCCGTGCCACTCTCACTATTTGCTTCCCTGCTCTCCCGGGCCGCCCCGCCCCTCCCCTCGCCTGGCTGCAAGGTCGCCCGGCTCCGCCCGGCTCTGCTGGACCGCGCGGATCGCGTCCCATCTCATCTCGGTCCGTGATTCCTCCCCCTTCCCCCCCCTCCCCCCACCGAGCGCGGCAAGCGCGGCCATTGCCAAGGTCGAGCGCCAAACACCTCACTCGTGAAAGGCACACCACTATTTCACTCTTGCCATCTCCACGCCCCCACCAGCGCGCTCATTCCGAACGAGAGTTTTCGTCGCTTCTGTCTGTCTGTCTGTCTGTCTGTCTGTCTGTCTGTCTGTCTGTCTGTCTGTCTCTCTCTCTCTCTCTCTCTCTCTCTCTCTCTCTCTCTCTCTCTCTCTCTCTCTCTCTCTCTCTCTCTCTCTCTCTCTCTCACACACACTCAGGGGGCGCCCCGTTCGGGTGCGAGAGAGACGGAGCGACGCAGCGTTCTTCCGGAACGAAACTGCAGGAGAGCCGCGGTCCGAGCAGATCAATCATCCGACTGCGGCAAAAGTTTGGGACGCCGATGCGCTGCGCCCTGCGCCGCTGCGGCGGCGACGCGGTGTCCGTCGGGTAGCCTGGACTGCCGCGCAGAAAAGCAGCGGCCTGGTCAGTGCCGTCTTCTTCTTCCAGCAGTCGGCGCAAGGAAACAGAGCAAACGTCCGCTCGACACTCAATGCAAACTTCTGAAGACAAGAATAAAACATAACGGACGCGGGGTATCGACTACTCTGCGTTCGTTGCCCTTTTCCGCCACGGGCGTCATCCCAGCCCAAGCACTCCAGGTTGCCCACCACTTTCCCACGCCCCGCACAGTGGGCCAGAAGACCGGTGGAGGCGGACAAAACCCTAGACGCGTTTAGAGCTCCAAAGCCGCTGAACAGGCCTCGAACTGAACGTGTGACCCCACCAATGGATTCCTCGTTCGGAGAGTAATCCATTGGTGGGGTCACACGTTCGGTTCGAGTCCCATTTAGCGACTCTCGAGCACAAAATGCGCCTAGGGCTTTGGCCGCCTCCACCGGTCTTCTGGCCCACTGTGCCGCGGCCCCAGTGGTGGCGCTGCTACGCGCTGCTGGACTGGATGCCTCTGTTTGATCGCCGCGGATTTACGCCCCCGCGTCTCCTGAAGCCGTTCAATTTGAGACGGGTAATCGGCCTGGATGAGGCCGCCGGCTTAGTGCCGCTCTGTCTCCCTCGCGGCCCTCCGGCCTCCAGACCGGCGCGTGAGTGCGAGAGAGACAGCGGCCGGGGGTTGGCCGCGCCGGGCCGGGGGCAGTGCCCCTCGCTCTGCCCGGCTCTGCCCTGCCGGCTGCGGCCGCGGTGCTTTCGGCCCTACTTTCGCGACGGCCTGTTCTAGGACTATTGTGTCGTCTCGGGTCCGCCGGACGTGCCGACTGGTTCCAGTTCAATGACTTTGACACTCTGGCAGTGGTGTGCCGCCCCGCCGCCCCGACCGGACTGCCCGACCGATCGCCGATCGGCACTCTTCGCAGGACGTGACGCGCTAGATGATGCGGGCTGGGCGCCGCGCCGCGCCACTGGGAGGACGGGTTGCCTACCCCCGGATGGCCGGCCGTTCACTCCGCCACGGCTTTGCAGCGGCCACAGCACTCAGCCACTTGGATAAAAACAATTAAATACTCTTTTTACAGCGGCGGGCGTGCGATGCGGGCCGCAGCAATATGAAGAGTCGTCGCTCTGTCTCTCTCGCACTCACGGCGTGTCCCGCAGGGCCGCAGGGCGCGAGAGAGACAGGGCGACGGGATGAGCCGGCTGGCGGCACAGTCCAGTGAACCTCGATTTGATAGTCGGATCGTTACCGAAATATGACACCGCGATCGTTTACGACGGCCGGGGTGAGGAATCCCGATGCCCGCACGTCGCGCCGCGCGGCGGCAATGTCGCAGGACGACCACGCCACTGTCGGGCGTGGTCCCGCCGCATCCTTTCATCCTTTTGGTCTTGTTGGTCCTGCAGGCGAGGCGTGGCACGCCGTGGGCCGCCGTGGGCCGCCGCCCGGTCGCTCTTCCGCGTGGGTATAAAAGCCCGGCGCCGGCCGGCTGGGGTACTCGCTGTCTTCCCGGCACTCCAGCAACACCATCATGAAGGTCCTGGTGAGTACCCCGCCCGGCCTACCCCGGCCCCAGCAGGCCTTAGTCCCAGCCTAGTCCCAGCCGCGACCGCTGTAGATTTCAACTCGGCCGCGCCACTGTTGAAAGCTGCGCAATGCAGGAAACACTGCATTCCCGAAAAACGAGATGTTTCGTTTGGGTGGGGCCAAACTATGCGCCAGAGTTCCAGTCCGAACGCGCTGGGCCGCCGGTCCGTGGTGGCGCCGCTCCTGGCTTTGACTGCGTGCCGTTGGATTTTCGTGTATTTTGGCGCTCGTTGACCTGGTTTGTGCCCTTCCGCCAGTGCGTTCTCGCCGCCGTCTTGGCCGTGGCTGCCGCCGCCCCCGCGCCCGGCCTCCTCGCCGGCGCCCCCCTGCTGCCCAAGGTGCAGTACGGCCCCAGCGAGCTGACCGTCGTCAAGCAGCCCCACGTCGTCACCGAGACCGAGCTCCAGTACCGACAGGTGCCCGTGCCCGTCAAGACCGTCGCCTACACCGCCCCCCAGGTGCACCTCGAGACCGACGTGATCCACGCCGCCCCCGCCGTGGCCTACTCCGCCCCCGCCGTGGCCTACTCCGCCCCCGCTGTGTCCTACGCCGCCCCCAGCGCCGTGGCCTACTCCGCCCCCGCCGTGGCCTACGCCGCCCCCGGCGCCCTGGCCTACGGTGCTCCTCTGGCCCACACCATCTACTAATCTAAAAGGCTCAATAAATTATTTTTGGAAAAACAGTTTTGCCTTATCTATTTGATGTAATGTGGTCCCGATCCGAACACAGCCAAACAAGGAAGGGCGGTTGGAAGGGCGGAAGGACTCATCCTAGAAGAAGCGAAGCTATGGTTGGTTAGGTTGGGCAGAGATATGCCCAACCTAACCAACCATACCTTCGCTTCTTCTAGGACGAGTCCTTTCTCGTTCTTGTGGCCTGGAAATTAAATGAGAGTGTGTGCACGGCCGGCAGGGCCTACCTAAAAGCGGACGCGAGCACTCACTCCGGCCGCCACGCTCGCGCGGGCATGAAACTGCCCGTGGGGAGTCCGTCAGGCCTTCTTCCGACAAGCCCCTCTCGAATGGAAACAAGCCCCGCGCAAATACGGGGGGCCGGAGAGCGAAAAAACAGTGGCCTGCCCGCCACCGCCACGCGCCGCTGTGTGCCTTGTGCCCCACACGCCGTGCCACGCCGTGCCGCGTCGCTACCCCGCGCCTCCAGCGGCACTACTTTCGGTCCGAGCGACTCTGTACAGTCGCGCGGGGTACCAACGTCTTTTGCTAATCCTGCCCGGACGAGTTTGGAGTTCCCATTCCCAATGAACCTGAATGAGCACCCCATCAGCGAGATTAAACCTGGACTCTGGTCTCACGCCGCCACAGCTTCCGGGTACTTCTCGCGAATATTTCAGCTAGCCCGAGGCCGACTCGGTGTTGGCGGGAGCAGAGCACACAGTGGGCCAGAAGACCGGTGGAGGTCGCCAAAACTCAAGACGCGTTTTGAGCTCCAGAGTCGCTAAATGGGACTCGAACCGAACGTGCGACCCCACCAATGGATTGCTCTCCGAACGAGGAATCCATTGGTGGGGTTACACGTTCGGTTCGAGTCCCATATAGCGACGCTGGAGCTCAAAACGCGTCTAGAGTTTTGGCCGCCTCCACCGGTCTTCTGGCTCACTGTGGAGCGCTCCCTCCGCCACTATTCGCCGCGTGCGAGCGCCTCCCAGCGTAGCGTCGCTCTGTCTCTCTCGCTCCCCGACCGAGCGTCCCTTGCGTGCGACGCGTGCGACAGGGACGGAGCGACGAAGCGACGCTTCGGAAGCAGTCTGCAGCTTCAAACGGCGCGCGCGTAATTGTTTTGCCACCGATAGCCGATTGCACGCAGCCCTTCGCAGCCCCGCACAGCCCTGCACAGCTCCCACTAACCTCGTTACAGCTCGTTCACGCCCTACTGGGCCAGCTGCGGCAGCTGCGGCGCACAGAGGGCCCTTCCATTCCGCATAACCTCGTGACGAGTGCGGTCAGTCAGGGACGGTGGCAAAGCCGCGCAAAGCCGGGCAGAGCCGGGCAATGCTGCAACCAGGCGGGGCAGAAAAACGGACTGTGCGTGAGAACACAGCCACACCATGACAGCCTCGATCGCCCTCGATAGGTCGCACGCTTCGAATCTACGTCGGCGGTTCTTGGTTTCGTCTAGAGTTCTGCTGCACTGCTACAGGGCAGTTTGATCCGTCTGTCGTAGCTCGCTACCTATCGTGCGGCTGGGGCCGGCTCTCCGCCGCCACCGCCACACCACACCCCCACCCCTCCCCCTTTCGCCGACGTGCCGAGGCTGGCCTGGCAGAGATAGTGGCCGAGCTCCTGGCCCTTCTGGCCCGGCTAAACGGATTACAACCACTTTTGACATTTTCTCATTCCCCAATGAGTCGACCGGGCTCGCCGGGCCTGGCCGGAGCTTGGAGGTGATGGCTGAAGGCTGGCTGAAGGCTGGCTGAAGGCTGGCTGCAGCGCACGGTCGCGGCGGCCAGCGACGCTCAACAGATGAATAATGCATGAACACAGCAAGACTCGCTTAAGGGAGGCCGGCCTAAGCGTCTCCGCGTATTACGGCCGTTAATTTGTTTTATGGAAGTTTGAGGTGGTGCCGCGGTGGCGTCGGCCGTCGCGGCGAGCGGCGCGCGGTCAGCCGTTGTAGAGCGTTAAAAGTGGCACGAGCTGTTTGAAGGCAGTCCGCCTGGCCGGGGCGGGCCGGCTAGGCTAGGGCGCACTCACACACACACGTCAGCACGCCGTGCCCAGTAAACACACAACAGTGTGACATGCACTCTGCCGCCGCCAGCCCGGGCCTCGGGCCTCTCCGTCGGCCTTGAGAGTGCCTTGCCTCGCCCCGCTCCGCCTCGCCCCGCCTCGGCCGCAGTGCTCCACTCCACAGTAAACGGCCTGGCTCTTGGGGAGTATCGCCGTCCCGCGCGTCCCGCCCGTCCGCGACCCTCTTGGCGGACTCGTCAATTCCCCGGCACGTGCGCGTCGAACGCGGCGAGCGCGCCGAGCGCGGCGAGGGGAGATGGCCGTGCCTCCCCGACGTCCCCGTCGTCCCGGTCGCCCGCCCCGGCCCGGCTCGCTGTCTGATCGCCGCGCCCGTCCGCATGTCCGCGCCCCGCCCCGCCCCGCCCCGCCCCGCCCCGCCCCGGCGCCCGCCCCGCCACCCCTCTCGCGTGCGTAAATTATATCCGGGTCATAATTTGGGATAATCCCTGGCGGCTGCCTTTCCATAAACTGCGCGCGGCCATCCCGAGACGTTTAAAGCCGCCCGGATGGCGGGCGGCGGCTCCGGGGGCGGCTCCGGGGGCGTGGGTGCACCGCTGTGCGACAAGTCGCTGCGGCAATACCGCGGAGCCTTGGCGACGCGACGTGCCATACGCGGGGGCAAGAGTGGCCGACAGGTAAAAGGACCCGGTTGCCTTTACATTGACGAGGGTCCCTTGGCGGGGACCTCTCACTAAGAAGGGGGCCATTGAGGGCGCCGCCAAAAGGGCTGGCTGGGCCACGTCCTGGGCCACGGTCTGGGCCACGGTCTGGGCCACGGTCTGGGCCACGGTCTGGGCCACGTCCAAGGCGCCACGGCCTCGGCCACGGCGGCGGCAGCACCGCGCGGCTCCGGCTTCATTTACGGCATTCACGTCTGCGGACAATACGGCCGCAAAAACGGCCAACTTACACTGTATCCGCCATACACGCCACTACACTGTGTACGCGGCTGCGCGGCGCCGCGAGTTTTAGCCCCTTTTGTCTCCGCACAACGGGCTCATTAGTGCAGGGCCCATCGACATTTCATGACGTTGTCAAAGGGTTCCTTACGTCCTGCTCTTTGAATTGGCCGGAAGGGCCTGGAGGGGCCTGGGAGGGCCGGGAAGGGCGCGACGAGGCGCCGCCGTGCATTACATCAGCCCGCCCCACCCCACCCCGCCCCGCCCCGCCCCGCCCCGCCCCGCCCCGCCCCGCCACGCGAGGAGCGCATCGAATCGCGGGGATACGCCTCGCGACGTGGGGGAGGACGCAGTATACAGCACTTATATTGCGGCGCTTGGCTGGTGCGCGCGTGCGCCTGTGTGTGTGTGTGTGTGTGTGTGCGTGTGTGTGTGCGCGCGCGCGCATGAGGGTGTTGTTTGTGGGTGGGGGAGGAGGGTTGGGGGATAGCCGCATCTGAAATGCCATCTCAGAAACAGCTCTTCCGAATGAATTCCGATTGATAAATTAGTGGTAAGAGCGTGGCTGGCGGTGCATAGTCGTCCTGAGGCCCGCGCTCGGCGTGCTTCCGATGTGTCTCAGTGGCGCGGGGAGTTTGGTACAGTCTGCCGCCGGAAAAAGGAATCGCTACTCTCTGAGTCGGCGACTCCCGATGTAACTCACCCTTTCAGAGAAGCGGGTATTGGCAGGGCCGTTCTTTTCTTACCGATACTTCTTTTCTTTTCGCCGGACCAGTGAATGTTGCTAAAAGGGGGCCGAGATCGGCCGGGACCCGCCCACGCCGAGCGCGCCGAGCGAAATGGACTTTTCGTCCTAAGTTGTTGTTTCACCGCCGTGACACGCCGAGAGGCAAGGCAAGGCAAAGCCGCCCCAAAATGTTTTTGAATTGTTAATCGCGTTAAGATGGCGGGGGAATTATGGAAATGCGGTTATGAAATAAGAAAGGGGGGAAAGAGTGAAAAGTGAAGATGGTAGTCGCTTGCCGGGTATCACAGTGCCGCGCAAAAAGAGGATCCGGTGGAAAGTTGGTCGTCAGCGAAGGGAACGAGGCGATTATTATGGAGGGCTTGCCGTCCCGATATCTCGAAAGGGAATCTCGAAAGGAATCGAGAGTGATCGAGGTGGCACCTGCGGGGATTATTACGTAACTGCGGGATGTTTCGTGCCGGCCGGATAAGACAGTGTAGGCAGCAGCAGCAGCGGAGGCCCCGGGTACAATGTAAAATATTCAGCAGCAGGAGCCTCTCGATCAGGGCGGCAAGTTATCGCCGGGCCCGTGCTTGCTCGGCCTGCAGCCTTGCTGTGATTTGCAGTTAATTCCTACTTTTCTGAGCGGTATATGGGGTGGCGCGCCACTGGCGGCGCTCACTGGATGAAGGGGTAAGGGGTGGGGGTAATGGGGGTGGGGGGAGCCCAAGGGGCCCAGCTGAGCCGAACGGGTTTAGCTTACCCTCTGTGATTGACGGTGATGTCGAGAATGCCCTGGCCCCGCCGCCCCGCCACCGCCCCGCTCCTCCTTTTCGACGCCCCGACGCCCCGTTCCCGTTAGCAGGGGATGGGACGCGTATCTAGGCGCTCACTAGCTTTTTATCGGTCTTCTCCAACTCCTCGCCATGCTATCGGCGCGGCTCGGCACGGCGCGGCCCGGCCTGGGCCCGGCCCCGCACGATGGGGCCATCATTGACGCCAGGAAAGAGGAGAGGATGGGATACTAAGGGACACGTTGTTCGAGGCTGGTGGCGCGGCGTGGCGCGGCGTGGTGCGGCATGTGAGGCTCTTTAGGCGAAACTCGGACAGGGTTGAATTTAGGAGCGAGGAATAAAGCCCTCGCAGTGGCGAAGCAGGGCGACGCGGGGCGACGCAGGGCGGCGGGATTACGTTGTGGAGGAGGCCTAATCGGAGGCGCCGTGCTCTGACTCCCACACTGGCTAACGGGCACAGCGGGCAAGTGTGACCACCTCAACATCCTCCTCCACGCTACAGCCACGCTAAATGCCTGCGGACAATAGACTCTTTCACTTCGTCGCCGAGTGAAGAACAAAATTTCTGGTTGCTGGACTTGACTAGTTTTGTTCGTTACCCCCGGCGACGAGCAGCGAAAGGGTCTGTATAACACTGGAAACTAAACGGCTGGTATAAAGCCCGTCTCCAGGTTTGGTAACAAACAAAAAGTTTTCAGTTGGTTCTAAAATTCGTCTGCTGACGGGCAGGGTTCGACCATCAAAATAATGTGCCGGACGAGAGTGCGTTTTCATGAGGTTGCGTATGGGTTGGCAGCGACCGAGCCAAGCAGACGACGCGTATGGGAAACTGCAGGGAGCCAGATGGGACCTGCTTTGGAAACACCCGCCGTCCCCTCGCCGCCGTGCCGTGCCGTGCCGGGCCGTGCCGGGCCGTGCCGTGCCGGGCCTGGCCACGCAACAGAATGTGGCGCCGTCCGGCACCAGATGAACGCCCCACCCGCTCCGCCCCGCTCCCCCTTCGGCTTCAGCGTGCTTCAGCGTGCTTCAGCGCCGGTTGGCAGCCCTAGCGGCCCGCCGGCCCGCCGGCCCTGTTTGACGGTCGAGTGTGTTGGCGAGCGTGTGTCGAACGCAAAGCACGCAAAGCGGCGCCACATATTGCGCGCGGGAAGGACGCCTCGGGAGGAACTGCAAGGAAAGAGAAACGAATAAAGAAGGTTCCGCACTGCGTATATAAACGTAAAATTATTGGCAGAGGCGAGGGGGCTTTGGTGACCGCGACTAGGAAGTGTAACTGGGTGGAAGCGGGCAGGAAGTCAGGATGGGTGCATCGCGCCACGCCCAGCGCAGCACAGCGCAGCACCACCCCTCCCCCACCCTTTTATAGCCTCGGTACAAAGCGAAAATTTGTGTTTGGTCGTCGATAGGGGGTTAGGCTGTGCACTCCACGACCCTCGGCCCGCCCTCGGCCCTCGGCTCGGTCCTCCCCAGGGGAGGATGACGTCACCCCTTCCACAAACCGGCGAATCAACGACTGCGTTTTCAAAAATGTCCCGAAGGGACTGGGTAGGCAATAGAGTAGATACAACCAGAGGGGTCCCGAGTTCGATTCCCGGCGACGGCGGGCGCAGAACAGCGGCGCAAAGTTAATTTTAGGGCATTGCGCACGCCTAGGCTGGCTATAACATTTGCGTGGCGCGCTGAAGTTGACAACACGCCATTTCAACGTCGGAAAGGACTCGAGAGGGCCGAGGCAGCCTAAGGCAGCCCCGGCCAGGGCCCCCGAGGGCCCCGGAGGGACCGCGCTTGCGGCACAGTCTTTGCGCGTGCTGTTGCCTCGCGCCCGTGGCCATGGCGGCACTGGGCAGCACAGCCCATGGCGCCATGGTCGTCCGTCTCCAAAAGTTATTCATTCCGAAAAGCGCAGCTGCAATACGGGGTCTGTTCAGTTAATTACTTTCCTTGAAGCTGCCTTCCGACTCTTGATTTCCATTGGAATCGTTTCGACATTATTTTCGATATTAAGACCGTCTGTTGCGCGCCAGCGAATGAATATCTTTTAGTTTCCAGCTCGACTTTCTTGGGCCAACGGGCCCGCCGAAAACAGATTCTCCGAGTCGGAATGAATCCGACTTGGGAACGGCTGCGCGCTCGTGTACATAAAAACCCAAGTTTGTTTTCTTTTTCTCGCCTGTCGCATGACCACCGCCTGGTCCTGGTTGTGAAAAATAGGACACATTTTTTTCGGTCACCGTTTTTACAGAAAATTAGAGCAGTTTCGGTTCGGCCAACGGCGTTTTGACCTTCTGCGGTCAACTCGATGGAGAAAAAAAAACCTAAAAAAAACACGTGATACTCCCAAGTCACGCCATCTGCTAAATATGCGAGCGAGCTTCGCCTTACGCGGCCTTTTTTTGTTTTTTTCTTTCCTCTCCGCCACGTCGATTTGCATCAAAACCGACCCAGTTTGAAACGACCCGTGTAAAGGGCCGCCGCGGGCGTGTCGGAGACAAGGAACGCCCGCCGCTTAATCGCCGACAATCTCGTGTTTGTTGACCGCGCGCCGTCGCTCCGCGCCCCGAACGTCTTTATAACGAAATCGATATGTTCCAGGGACCCGTCTGGCCTGGCCTGGTGGCGAGACGGAGCGCAGCGAGTGCCTCTGGTTGGCGCTTTGTACAGGCAAACACCGATCTCGCTGGCTTGCCACCGCCGACGGTACACACACTCTCTTCACCGTGCCGCCGCCCGGCACTCCGCGAGAGCCGTTCTCTCACATCCAAACGGGACGTGCCATGAGTGCGAGAGAGACAGCGGCGAAAACGACTCGTTGAATCTGTCTGCAGGTCAGGGCATACAAAGTCCGTCCGCCGTCCACCCTCGATGAATAATCCACGCGATGGCGACGCGGCCGTCGCGGACAGGCGGCAGAGCGATCCGATATACTGCACTACTTGGGGAGGCTGCCGGCCGGGCTTCTGGTGTCGCAGCCGCAGCGTCACCGGGAACGGTGGCGCGGTCCCGAAGCCCCGGCCAAGCCCCCTCCCCTTTGCGGTAGGCCAACTGAACTAGCGAACTGAAGGTGGGAGCATGTCGTCCTGTGCGGCCAAAAGATGGCCCTGCCTCGGCCCGACGGCCCTGGCGCGCCCTGGCGTTGCAATGGACTGCTGTTGCTACTGTTGCTCTGTCTTTGCGCGGCGTTGCTCCCCTCGTGGCGCAGCGCCGCGCAGTCTGGGAGGCGCTGGACTAGCAGACGACAGGCTGCCCCGCCCCCGGCCCAGCCAGCCGCCCCCGGCCGCCCCCAGCCGCCCCCAGCCGCCCCCAGCCGCCCCCGACCTCGCTCGGCACCACTCGGGCCGCCTTCGCCGCCTTCGTGCCGCGCCGCTCGGCTGCCTCTAGCTGCCTCTAGCTGCCTCTACTCCCGCTGGCCGGGTGCCGCCCTGCCGCTGGGCCGCGCGCTGCCGGGCGCCTGGACGCTGAGGGGCGGGCGGGCCGTGGCGTGGCGTGGCGTGGCAGCGCTGCGCGCCAGTCGTCCGCCGACAGTCGATGCGGAAGGTTGCTGCCGGAGCTCGCTCCGTCCCCGCGCGGCGTGTGCCGGTTGTGCGTGCTGCGCCTCGCCTCGCCGCTGGGCCTTCCCTCGCGTCCTCGCCGCCACCCCTTGGATTACTCCTGTGTGTGTGTTTGTGTCAGTGTGCGTCAGTGTTGTGCTCGGCGCTCCGCGCTTCGAGCAGCAGTCATCTGTTCGAGACCATTCTGTGTGTGAAACTGTGAAACCTTACAGTGCTCCAGTCCCAGTGCTCCAGCGGCAGCATGAAGCCCGCCCGGGCCGACCGCGGCCTGGGGGCCGTCGGCACCGTCGGCGTCGTCTGCATGGCTCTGTTCGCGCTGCTCCCTCAAGGTAGGCCTCATCCGCGGGAACACTGCCCTGTTATCGGCCTGTCCGCGTCGCCCGGGGTGGGGGTGGGGGGTGCTCGGGTCTCGTTTTCTCTGGTTCGCCACGGGCGGCGTTCATCCTGAAAATAGAACGCCTGCAACATTCTGGCGTTGTCGGTCGCCCGGTCGTTGCGGCTGCGACTGCCCGGACTGGCCGCCACAGCAACGTTCCTTGTTTTGTCGCGTTGCATTGAGGTCCCCGTCGGTCGCCGTCGGTCAGCGCGTCGGCCGCCGCACGTAGTTGGGAGGGGCGTGACCACCGACACCCTCGGGATATGTGGTTGCGTACGCGCCGTGCAGGCCGCACACGCCGTACCGGGGGCCGGCCGGCCGGCCATTTCGATTATTAGTTTGTGTCATTTCCATATAAATTAGCGGACCACGTGGCGCTGCATTTGCAAGTCGGATGGACCAAGCCCGGCCGTTCTTACACGAGCTTTGGGCCCGGCCGACCCCGCAGCGCACCCGCGGGTATGTGGCGCAGCCATGGGCAGCCATGGGCGCAGGGATGATCGTGGCGGTCGCTACTCGGATAAGCCACCCTGCGAGCTTAAGGCTATCGGAGTGGCAGCGCACAGTGGGCCAGCAGACCGGTGGAGGCGGCCAAAACTCTAGACGCGTTTCGAGCTCCAGACTCGCTAAACAGGACTCGATCCGAACGTGTGACCCCACCAATGGATTCCTCGTTCGGAGAGCAATCTATTGGTGGGGTCACACGTTCGGTTCGAGTCTCATTCAGCGACTCTGGAGCTCAAAACGCGTCCGGGATTTTGACCGCCTGCACCGATCCTCTGGCCCACTGTGGGCCTGCCCAGCCCACCCCGCATCGATGGTCTATACTCACGGCGCCGATTTGCACATACGGCATCCTCCGCCACTCCAGTGCGCTCTAAGTGCTGCACTGCGGAGTGCAGGAGGGGGGGGGGAGGGGCACGCGTGGGACGTGGAATTGAACCGCATCGAGGGATGGCGCGCCATGGCGGCGGCGCTGGAAATCCATTGCGATCTCGGCTCTGGGCCGGAGCAGTCTCGACGGCGGTTAGGTCGCGGCCACGCGGGTCGCGCTGCGCTGCGCTGCGCCCTGCGCCGCCGCCGTCTGATTCTTCCTGTCGGTAAACACATTTCAATTCCGACTAGCAGATTGCCGGCAAAGTCTACGACTGGGGCCGCGCGGCGCAGCGCGGGGTGCGGAAGTGTGTCCAGACTGTTTGCGCAGAGCGCGGAGGGCGCGCGGAGCGGCAAGGAGGGGAGACAGAGACACAGATAACATGCCGAGAAAAGCACGTCTGGCGACGTTCTGGCGATTTCTTCGTCGAGCACGCCGTGTACACTGTACAGGTGCAGGGGACACGTGTCCGAGAGCGGCCCGGGCGGCCATTTTGTGTCTCCGGGGTCCTCGGAGTGAAAGGGGTGCGCAAAAAGTCGCCACCAGAGAGAAACTTTGCGGCTAGTGTCTGAACCGCGCGGGGCAAGGCGGCGCGGCGCTGGGGGCGGTCGGGTCGGGTGGTTCCGGTGGAGAGCAGGGCGGACTTGGTGGACGAGGAGGATGAGTCCCTCGCGCAGACCGCCCGGCAGGGTGGGCCAGCGTCAGCCCGTCAGGAACGCGATTGGAGCGCCCGGCAGGTAGGCAACCCGCACAGTGTACCTGCCAGGGTAGGCCACCGTCCGCCCGGCAGGTAGGCAACCCTAGACCCGTCACCCTCCCCGAACACAGTGCGGCTTCTTCGTTCTGCTGCACCGTTTCAGATTAGAGTGAACGCCCGTCGCCCCCCGGCCTGCCTGGGCCGGCGGGCCTGCCACAACCCTGTCTGACATTGATGCGCGTCCGTTTACGTTGTCAGTACATTTCCACCCCTTCGCTTGGATTCCGTTTTGGCCTCTTCGTTGCCGCTTCCCTCGCTATCGCCACTAGTCCGATGTCTCCCCTCCCCCTCCCCTTCTGACCCCTGCGAGGCTTCTGCTTGGCGGTGATTTGTGTGGCCTGCCCCGGCCTGCCCCCTCCCTTTGAGCCGCCGCGCCGTACAGGCGAACAGGTGGCAATCGTTTCCATCAAAGACGCGGGGAAATCAGTTTCGTGTATGTTTTCTTCTTTCCCTCCTCTTTGTCACTTCCCTCCCCGCTTGCCGCCGCGCCGCTCCCTTGCCCCGTATTGATTGATTCTAGCTTTCGCACAATGCGTAATGCGCCCTACACTGTCAAAGAAAATCTCGCAATTTTCCGGGGAAAATTGTCTCCGATCTTCGGCAAATTCCAAATCCGTCAATGTTTCTGTTTTGTCTGAGTTTCCCGTAGGTACAGTACAAAAATTATTTTGGAAAATCGATGCCTTTTCCCACTGAGCTGCGACGCGCACTCTCCTGGTTTTTGCAATCTCTTTTTTAGCAGTGCAGCCTCGGCCGCGCGGCGGCGCCGCGCCCCCTGATTCCTAATGAAGTTTTCTTTCCGTCTGGCTGGGGTGTTTGGCCGGGGATGCGATTTTCGGAGTGGAGTGAGTGAGATGTCTCGAGTGTTTTCAATTGTCGTATCTCGCGACGCACGGCGCAGCCACGGCAGCAACGCGTGGGAAGTCCAAACAAGCAGCGCTCCCATCTCAACGGGCACGACAACGCGAGGCTGTGCGGAGCGATGCAGAGCGGAGCGCGCTTTGAACAGCTTTTCCGTTCCTTGCTGTGAAATTCTTTTCCTCGTGCTCGTAGTGAATTGACTTCTTCTTTGAGCGGGCGGGGTAATCTTCCCTACCCCTGGCGCACAACGCGTATTAGCCCCCCACTCCCCCCCTCTCTCTCTTACACACACCCACACACACACACACACACACACACACACACACACACACACACACACACACACACACACGCAGCGTGGAAGCCCCACATGGCGCCGCCGAGGTGTTGGTTGGGATGAATCTGACTGGGTGAACTGAGGCGGGGGCGAAGTACGAGCCAGGCAAATCCAGCGGCGCGAAAAGCCGAACGTCGGGTAGTTCTGCGACTCTGCCCCCCCCCCCTCCCCCCATACACCCTGACGCCTCACCCCAACCCCTTCCACCCCGCTGCGTGGCCCGGACGTCTTGCCACCACGTCCCTGGAACCGCACTTTCACTTTGCCGCCTTGGTCTCTCTCTCTCTCTCTCTCTCTCTCTCTCTCTCTCTCTCTCTCTCTCTCTCTCTCTCTCTCTCTCTCTCTCTCTCTCTCTTTCTCTCACACACACACACACACACACACACACAAACACAAGCGCGCGCGCACAAGCACGCACCCATGTATACACGCACACCACTAAACACACTTGTGCGCTGGCACGTCCTGCCTCACGCACACACGCGTGTACGGTCGCAAAGTCGACGGCTATACGGTGTACGTAAAAGGTCCCTTCGCTCTTCTTTTTCTTTCTTTTTTTCCTGTAATCGCCTGCCGCAGTTTACAGGACGTGTGTGCGTGGCTGCGCGGCATCGGGCGGCTTCTCGCTCTTCGGCCTTCAGTTCAGCCCCTCGCTCCGCGCAGCGCCTGTTTGTTGGCTGAGCGAAGCGGCCGAAGCAAGCCACTTACTTACTGGGAACTACTCCGTCGGCCCGGCTACGCTACGCGAGCAGCGCGGCACGGCGCGGCGCCACAGAGCACTGCTCTGAACGGCGCCGCGGCCTTGGAAGTTGGATACATCAGTCGTACCGACGCCCATTGCTCCGCATTGCTCGCCAAACGCTGCACTTCCCTCCACTGCAACGCCACTGGCAAGTTTGCTCACTGCCACTCCGGTGGCGGTCCGTTTTGAATGCCCAAATTCGGCCTCCTGCGGTCGGTTCGCCCGCAGGGAGGGTAAAATTTGGTCTGCTGGGCTCGGATTGCCATCGGGTAAGGTCAAACCGTGGTCATCTATAGGCTCGGATTGCCCTCAGGGAATGCCAAAATGTGGCCTACGAAGCTCGGATCGCCCTCACAAGGGAACGTTTTCAGGTGTCAGGAGCCGATTGCTCCCATACTTTGGGATCTTAAAGACCATTTCAAGAAAGAATTTTCGGCACCCACAGTTCGTGCTAAAAGTCACTACATCGCCCTGAAATGAAAGTTCAAGGTCAGGGCCGGCCCGTTTTGGCCAAGCCGTCGGACGGCGGCCAGTGGCCAGTCAGTCGGGTCACGCGGCGAAAGTGCGTGTCACTTCGAGTTGTCACTCCTAGTGTTGCTAGGCCACTAGGCCGTTGGCATTGCCACCGCGGGTTATACCGCGGTGGATTTCACCCCACCACTGTTTGGTCAGACCTGAACAGTAAGGAAATCAACTTCGCAAACTGCACGATCTTGCGGAATCCCTGTTTTCCTACCCTCTTCTCGTTCCTTTGTTTCTGTTTCTGAGGGTGGCTCACTCATCCCTGGTGCACCTTGCCTGGGTCGGCGCTTGCTCTGGCAAGCCTTTAGGGACTGTGGCGACTCCTCGGGTGTAAAGGTCAGGCGTGCCTGGCTCCAGTTGAGCCTCCAGACTTCCAGTGGGCCTCTAGCCAGCTTCTTGTTCGACTTGTCGTACTTGCTCGTCTGCGCCTAGCGAGTTCCCCAATGAGGTTAAGTCTAGCGAGGGCAAGCGAGCGAGTTGCCTCTTCAGAGTCTCTCGCAATGCCAGAAGGCCGCTTCCGAGCACCGTCTCGATGACCCTCCTAGCCAGCCCCACTGAGCTTGTACGCGGGCGCGGGCACTTGCGAGATGTCCTGGGGTATTTGTGCTCCACCCCCAAAAACAAAAACAACGAAACGAGGAAAGGATAGGCTCGGATGGTCAGAGGCCCTGCGGTGTGGCAGGGGTAATGGTGTCCCGCACGGTGCTGTGGGTCCTTGGAAAGCCTCTTCTGATCCAAGATATTTCATTTTCAATTTTTAATAGGCTGGGAAAATTCATAAGACCTTTTCAAACTAAAACAATTACCATGGCAAATTGTAATTTCTGCTCTTAATTTTTTTCGTCGGGAACTAAGAATCA